TCCCCCTCCATTATGTGCTTCCACCTTGGGTCTAAAAAGCTGCTGTCATAAGAATTACTGAAGCTAAAAAAATAGTGCTTTGTACCATCTGAAAGCTTTGCAGCCTTGAGTCATATGGAGGGTAAAAAGCAATCCATCTTAAAGATCAACGTTTTTTAAAACACTGAAACCCACATTTGACCTTAGAATTGCGAGGAGAGGGATGTTTATCATGATAACAGGATTTAAAACCTAATTCCTCCTAGCCTTGTCTAATGTACACAGTATTTCACAAACCAGTACAAGCATGAGTGGGAAGGCTTGTGAATTACCAGAAGAGCTGAGATGTTAAGCACAGACCACTGTTTCGGGCAATGATATTTATTTATCTGGATAAACATTTCCTTTTCCACTAGAAAAAAGTTGGAAAGGATATGAAGGCTATGTATTTGCGAGACTTGGAGGTATTCTCCAGTGGCTTTTTGGCCAGGACTACACACTGGGGCAATTATATCTAATCTTTGTTACATTCACAACTAAGCATTAGCTTCCTTTTTATTTCTTCGGATTTTCTTGTGCAACTTTCATGTTGTCCCTGTGGCTAGTCATGTGGAATTTAAGATATCTTTGTTGTCAGTTCTTCTCACACTGTTCATTCCTTGAGCTGTTTCATGTATTTGAGCAACACAGCGACCTCATATCCTGAATTACTGTGCCCCTACTGCTGTGGGAACAAGTATCTCTGGCGTATCCCTTGCATCCACTGCTCAGATACCAGCCTTCTTCCTATCCTTGCTTTCTCCTGCTGAGGGAATGCCCTTCCTGAGGTGCTCAGCAAAGCCACAACCCTCTACACCTTTAAAACTTTCCCGGAGATCTGCTTCTGTGATGCTTGCAAGAAACTGGCTAAGTAATCTACTTATCTATTTCATTTATCTCACGAGTGACTCACTCCTTCCATGGTGCCTGTAAGAAACTTGTTGATTAAATCTACTTCCTCTTACTCTGTTTTTAACAAACAAAACCGTTGCTGGATTGTGCCCTGCATTGGCCTTTGGGTGAATTCTGGGGTAACTGGATCACGATCACTTTTCGGATGCCACTCTGTTCTTCCTGCCCACTTGTTGCTTGTGTCCTTTGTTGCTTCCCATTAGAAGCACCACCTTGTTCTCCAGCTGCCTGCAAATAAAGAGGCTTTGCTCTTCACTTGGCTATTCATGACCTTAGCACCACATACATGTAGGAGTCCACCTACTTGGAGCTGCCTATAGGCTCAATGCATTAGTTTGGGAGCTGCTCCAGGCACGATCAAAGTTTTTTGTCTCTAGCAGGTGTCTCCTACCACAGTGTGCTGGAGTGTCTAAACCACTGTTCATAAGGAGCAAATAGCATTTGGTGTGACTGTTGATTGTTGTCATCTACTCCCTGCAATTTTTGTGTTATCTAATTTTCATGTTTGTAACTCCGGAAAAGTTTTGTAAGATAAACGTGTGTGAAGGTTCTCGGCCTGCTGATGCTGTCCAGCAAGTGCAGATAGTGTTAGCCACTCTTTAAACAGAGAATGTCCAGGTATTGTAATTGAACACCATTTTAGCTTAATGGATAAGAGTAACAATTTAAAGAAAAATTTTTCCTTCATAAGAGAAGGTAGCAAACTGAATCTTTTTATAATTGTACTATGTAGTGTCATGAAGTAATACATACAGGGATCATTTTTATTCCTGTGCTACTTAAGAGGCAGCATTTATTTGTGGCTTGTTGTGCTTGTCATATTTTTCTAATGCACAAAACCCAGTGGGTCTCCCTCTTGTGCAAATGGTGACGTGTTTATTTAGTGTCCTCTTCGGCAGGGCATCTCCAGCTGTATGAAGTTAAGCACATGCTGGGTGCCAGCAGGATCTGTGGGCTGGAGTGTAAGACACATACCCATTGTTCACTTGTTCCCAGCATTTCCCAAGGAAATGGTATGGCCTTGCCTTTGTCAACATCCTAATTTGATTCCAGTTTTGTGGCATTATCGTCTAGCAAGCTAATGGTCACATAGGTAATTACTATTGCTAGACACAATGGCATCATTCCTCTAATTAGTAAAGACTCCACTTTGTTCAGTAACACCCAGAGTTTGAATTCCCATATTCCCTACAAGCTTTGCCTTGGAGCTGGAGGCAGGAGCTGCACTAATGGAGCTAATCCTCTGGTTCCTTTCCCTGACATGTGGGGAAGGGTACCTGGGGACAAGTCCTGAATGTTGTCATAATCATTAGCAATTTGCTGGATGGAAAACAAGGGAACTGTCTCTGACTACTCAGAGTCACTGCTCGCTGTCCTGTCCCCGTCCCCCCCCAGTTGCAGTCCCTGAGTAGAAGGTAAAAGAGGACAAAGGAAGGAGTAGGTAGCCCCAGGAGATTATGGGTTTCTCCAGTGAACTAGTTAAGTAGAACATGCCTTCATCATGGACTTTTTCTTTTCATCTTCTAGTTCAGCTTATGATACCAAAACAAGACAGAAGGTGGCAGTAAAAAAGCTCTCAAGACCTTTTCAATCACTTATTCACGCGAGGAGGACCTACCGAGAGCTTAGGTTGCTTAAGCACATGAAGCATGAGAATGTAAGTGGAGAGTGAGTTTTTCTTTCTCTTTGAATTTTTATGACAAAACTTTGCAATATAGGCTGAATTTCAGTTAGGTGCAATCTTTTACAAAAGTATATGCAACTCTCTGGCTACCCATGGTACCTGAACTTAGTCATCTTATGTGTAATGAGGTCATTGGACTTTAGAGACTTTCAGTAAAAGGCTGCCTTTTTATTGAAAAATGATCTAATTTTTTCTTGAAGATGCAGCTGCTGAAATCCAAAACAAGTGGTCCTGTTCTTCTTAAACTAAAGTAACAAGAGTGATCTGCTCACTACTGTTGGATGCTCTTGAAACATCAGTCTAGGGAAAAAAAATACATAAACCTGCTTTTGCTGAATTTGGATTCCTTTGAGAAATTAAGGGCAGATACTCTCATTGAAATTAATGACAGTGTAATGTCTAGATGAAAGATAGTAGAACTTCAGGTCCCAAATAATTCAGTAATTGCCTAAGTTTCTGTGACAAATAGTTGATTTCAGAGGGAGCATCCACCTTCTTAAAAGTAACTTGATTAATTGAAGCCTGAATAAAATGTAGTGGGTTGAAAGCTATCCTGGAGAAAGGATGCTAAAAAAGTTAATCAACAGCAGAACAAGATAACCCATGAAATTGAGCGTAATCTTAAGTATAACAAGCATATAAGCCATGTCAGCTTTTCTCTAGTGAGACATTGCATTTCCTGCCTTTATTTATAATTGTCTAAAGTCTTGTTGTAATTACTTTTTTGTAATTAATAGAATTTTCTATTGGTCATGGAGATAGCTGAGGCTGTACCTGTAGAGACCACCTATTGTGCCAGTTGTACTAAGTTTTCAGGAGGACGATATGTCATGTATTTGTAAGTTTCATGCCAAAAGTGCTAAGCACTGTCAATACTAATTACGTGTTGCTTTACGGATTTCTAAAAATAAAATGCCAATTCCCTCATCTTTCAGGTTATAGGATTGCTAGACGTTTTTACACCTGCAACATCAATAGAAAATTTCAATGAAGTGTAAGTAAAATTTTTAAATTATTCTGGCTAGTTAGTAAGTAACTACCACTTTGATACTGGGGCACAACTACTCAAACGAGAACTGGGAATGACAGATCTATACTTTTCCCAACACTTTTTTTGGAAAAGAATCAATGTCTCAGCAAAATTTGTCAAAAAAAAATAAAACTTCCAGTGGGAGCAGAGAGAGAAGTTACACAAAACACCGTTATTTCAACCAAGCCAATAATAATCTCCATCATCAAATATTCTGGGGCCTTGCAGGTACTGTAACTTCAGTGCCTCAGGCTCCCACTTTGGTGTTGGGTGAGATGTCATCCCAAAATACTCTCACTGGACACTGTAGTGCGTGAGGGAGAAAACAGAGATAAAAGCTTTTAATGTACCATAAGGATTTTTCCTTTTTGTGCTATTAAATCCCGTAGGTGTGATTCCATTCTTAGAGCTCCTAATAAGCCAACGGGAAAGGAATAAGGTGTGTGTTAGTAGACAATGGAAAAGGAACCGACGTGGAAATGTGTAGTTAGCCTTTAGATGTGCTGCTTTTAGAAAGATTTACATCCTGCCAATCTTAAATGAGGTGTGTTTCTTTGCTTTCTTCTGTGTTTTATTTTCACAGGTATCTTGTGACAAATTTAATGGGTGCTGACCTGAATAACATTGTGAAGTGCCAGAAGTTAACGGATGACCATATACAGTTTCTCATCTATCAGTTACTTCGAGGTCTTAAGGTACTGGCTAAATGGGTCAGCCCAGTAATGACTGGTTCCTTGCAGTGACAGTTCTTAAAGGCTTTTGTTTATGTCTTCAGGCGTGCAAACCAAAATGTTGGAGTAATGACTGGTTCCTTGCAGTGACAGTTCTTAAAGGCTTTTGTTTATGTCTTCAGGCGTGCACAGACAGTGGCAATCATTTCATAAATTATCTGATCATTTTTTCCAGCCAAAACTAAAATCCCAAGCCCACAAATGTTTACATGCACAATACATGTGAGTACTCTGCTTGAACTTTAGTTCAGTGTCTTTTTAAGTTATTACTGATAGTCTTGCTACATGGTCTCTCAAGTGAACATGTTCTATAGTGCACAATGTGTGGTTTAGACACTTCCCATCTCATGAGACGGTAGTGAAGAAACTTCTGAAGAATGTGAAATTGATAAAGAATGATATGACAAGTAGCTCACATTTCTGATTTGAAAGACAAGAGCCAGTTTGAAAAACTACAACCCTCATTTTTGTAGGGCGCATCACATGGGTGAAGAGATAATCAAGGTAGTTGGGTTCTTTGGGAAAGGTCTGGAAGTAAAAGCTTATCCCAGCAATGTGCAGTGTTGCACACGACCATCTAGGATTTGCTCTGCCTGTAAAGTCATTGCTTCCTTTAATCGCATCAGTTAAAATTTATGGAATTAGATAACACAGGTGATTGGCAATGAAAGCACAGCAAAATTTTCTTCCAAAAGAATTAAAATATGTATCACTTTGCTGATGTTAAACATAGAAGTGTCTATAAACAGGATAAGATGTTCCCATTACTAGGTGATAAGCATTTTCTTGGACCAGTGTTGATTTTCCCAGGCATATGTAAAAAGAACAGAGAGGGCTCAGCTGCTTTAGTAGCTAACTTAACAGTAATTGATATTTTAGACATGGAAAATAACTGTGTGGTTGAAAGCAAGCCATGGTAAATACTGGCTCTGAAATATACTTATTACATGGTTTTCAGCAAGTCACCTGGTGCCTGAAACAGTAATTCTTATTCATCCATGCGGGTTCTGTCAATTTAAGTGCAGATTTTAGTGAATAAAAATTGCAGAACTGAACCCTTAGTTGCTTTGTCTCATTTACTTAAGCTAATAGCTAAATTAGGAAGATGGATTCCAGAGTTAATTATCCAGCTTGTGGTTTTGAATACAAGGCTATGTTGTGTCAGAGCTAAATAGTAAGAATTGTGCTCTAAAATGAATATTAATTTCAGAAATACACCCAGGTACATTTCTGGCTCTGTTTTGAAGGGGAGGGGTAGATGGTGGATCATCTCTTCTGGAATTGAAATTCTCGTGTCTCATTAGTCCAAGAACATTTGGTCATAGAGAACTCCTCCCTTATATCTACACTAGAGTCATTACAACATGTATTTGCAGACCTGAGTGAGCTTTGGGCTTTTGGTGGCACCGAGAGGAGCCCTCATCCCAGCAGAGCAGGGACACAGCTCCCTGCTGTGGCAAACTGTGGTTTGGTTTCTGTTTGGTTTCCTCTTCGTTCAGCTGCTCGCAGCTATTGTGAGGAGCACTCGGGGTGGCCCTGCCCTTCTGACAAACAGCATGTAGGTCTGGAACAAGAAGAATGCCCTTGTGTTTTCTTTGGGTTTTCCCAGTTGATATTCAGGTTTTGCCTGTAATCTCTGCTCCTAAAAAAAAGGAGGTGAATTCACCTCTAGAGAATAGAAGGTTTTCAAGGTCTTGCTGATCCTGGTCAGTCAGATCATACATAAATTGGCTGTTAATCCTAACAAGTAAATGATAGGCAATTACAGAGTAAACTTTTCTCAATCTTTGCATTTTAGTCTTTTATGTAAAATAGCAGAGATGCTAAATAGCCACTGAAATACTGCTTTGCGCCCCTGCTTTGGAAGTGGACCTGAAGAAACGTTGTGCCTTAGATGGGTATTTTGGTCACTAATCTGTCCCGGGGTGCAGGTATCTCTCACACATTCAGCATTCACAGTATGGAAAGATGACATGTCATCTAGGAGTTAACCATACTGCTCCCTAGGCCACTGACTTCACTGAGCCACTAGCCGATCAACAGAGACATTGAGATAAGACTGGAACAAATTCCAAATTGGCAAGAAGCTTTCAACAGAAGAGTCACTGCAAGTGCTGTCTTTTATGGTAGACTCTGGCCTTCCTGGTTACTTTTCTTGAAATATCCAGCTCTGGATAAGACAGAACAAGGTTTTTGAAGTTCGTCATACCTCTGTTTGATCTGAAAATGTAGTCTGATGCAAGTCTTCTCTGTATATAAAACAATCAGTCTCAGAAGTGAAAAGATAAGACAAGTGAGTTATACCTTCCTTCACCCCTAACTTCAAATCTTACCTTTTTTTTTTCTTTTTTTCCCTTTCTTTTTCACAGTATATTCACTCAGCTGGAATCATCCACCGGGTAAGTTCACTCATTGGGTGTCAAATGTGTTTCAAGACATAATTATAACATATTTTAAAAGACTAAAAGCATACTTGACTAATTCCCTCTGTTCTGCTACAGGACCTGAAGCCCGGTAACCTAGCTGTAAATGAAGACTGTGAACTGAGGGTACGTATCGCGCTGTTGTAATGAAGAACGTTGTAAAAGCTGCCAAGATTAGTTTTCTGAGAAAATATTAGCTACCATCTTTATTTCTGATTCCATTGATTTCAGCTGTTTGCTACTGCTGCTCTTCTGACATAGAAAACCAATTTCCGTGAACATGTTTTTTCTCCCAAATGTTAATTTAGTATAAACACAAGTACCTTTGCAAAATATTCATCCCTAATTCCTCACAGATGGTACGTAGGCTAATAATCTGGACCATGAGTGAGTACTTAACTGAGTGTATCTTGAAAGTTTGACCTGTGAAATGTATCTGCATCTGCCGTGTTTAGCTGAAGCCTTGTAATAACTCATTTTTGTGTCTATAGAATATACTAGCTAAATTAAATAATGATATGAAAAAAGATACCAGTATTACCAGTTATTTTACCAGTTACAGGCAGTAAAAAAAAAAAAACACAAAAAAACCCAAACAAAAAAAACCAACCACAAACAAAAAGAACCCTGTAACTTCTCAAATGCTATTTTAATGCCTGCATCTATATAAATACATATCTTTGTGTATCTCTGTGATACAATATTACATAATAAGCATGAGACTCTGGAGAAGGAGAAGATGTTTTCTCGCTTTCTAAGCCTTTAAGCCTAAGAATGGGAAGTTTAGCATTTCTCCATGGCAGCCAGAAACATCTTCCTCCCTGTGACTGGGGCTCTGATGTAATCACTTTATTCCAGCTGCGAGGGATTTAAGAAACGATTCCAAATACTACAAGATCAGCAAAAAAATCACAATAGTGAATAAGAGCAGTGCAGTTGCCATCTCCCACTAATCCGGATCCGTGGTGAGAAACTGTAGTTCCTCTTTGGTTTAGTGACACTTGCAGATGCTCAGCAAGTTTCATGATTATCCCTTTAATGTCTTCATGCATGTATGTTCAGCGTCTGTGAAATTTTATGGGTCATCTGGGTCTGATCATGCACTCTAAAATGTGGGCTGTATTTCTGTACTGTAAGTAAAGGAGACTTCTAATCTTCCTTTTTTTTCCCTGTTATTATGGTATCTGTGCACCTCCCTGCCGAGCATTGGGTACTCTGCTCTTTGCTTTGTTTATATTTATAGCTTTGCTTCCTCTGATACCAAATTATTTTCTAATAGAAAAAAACAGTGGATATTTCCATGTATAAACAAAATAAAAATAGAAGCAAAAAGAAGGAAAACGTATGTGTACACGTTTGATAGAAGGGATCAGCTATTGAAGAAAAATATTGCCAAAACCTTTATAAAAACAAGGGCATTAGCATTTGAGTTTCATACTACTATTCATGCCTTGTTTGCCTCATGCTTTTATTTTTGCTTTTTTAGGAAATAAATAATGCTTTTAAAGTGTAATAGAAGTAAAGATGTGTAGTGTTACCTATATTTTAGTATTTTTCTTTAGGCTTTTTGTATCTTTAAATCAGATTATAACTAAGGAATTTTAAATGATACTCTTAAAATTTTCTTAGTTCCAATGAAAAGGATTAGCATCAGCTTAATAAATAATCCTGGATTTCATCATGGGAGGTTGCCACTGATCTTAATTCACATTTCTATTTGAAAAGACACTAACTAGCTCAGATGGCTGACTTAACGAACAGCGCTGAGGCTCAGTTGGTGCGCTTTCACAACAGGCTCTCTTAGAGTTCAGGATACCTTTGAGCTCTGTAATTAGTGGGACATAGACTAATCAAAAAATAGTAAGCAAAGAAATGAGCAGGAAAAATTTAATTGAAATAACTTCCCGGCAATGTAAACTTAGCAAAGGAGAACATATGGAGGGGAACATTTTGCCATCAAGCCTGTGAGTAATATGTGTACCTAAAGAGAGCTCCTCTGTTGTGTCGGTGGGGAGTTCTACCGAGGACAGATGGTATGTGATTTAAATCTACCTTGTTACGCAGGATATATCTGCCTCTCCTAGTGGCATCAGAATGGTGCATGATTTGGGTAAATGCTTAGATAGACACGAGGGGGAAACAACAGAAAATCTGCAGATTTGTGATGAGCTCGTGTGGTCTTTTAAATATTTAAATGGCCAGTAGCGCTTGCCCTTGGCATTTTACACAAACATTCCCATTTGTTAGTGTTTCATTTTTTATAGCAAGAGCGCTTATTTTTAGCAAATGAACGTCAGGGGAAAATTGAACTTGAGGCAGAATGCAAAGTTTGCATCAGAGGACAAAGGGCCGGGCAGCGGGAGCATCTTTATGCATCTCCCTGCAGCAGGGAGAGCCCGTGAGCCCGTCCACAGAGCATGGCTCTTTCCCTCACTGACAGCAAGGGGCAACTCAGAAATGAGTGACGGGGAAAATCAGTACCTATAACAAAGTGAAAAGGGATTTTATTTTTTTTTTTTAATTATTATTTGATTTGTTTTTATTCTGTAGATTTTAGACTTTGGTTTAGCTCGACAAACTGACGATGAAATGACCGGATACGTTGCGACAAGATGGTACAGAGCTCCAGAAATTATGTTAAACTGGATGCACTACAATCAAACAGGTAAACTGTGAAGGCGTGCATTTTGCTACAGCTGGATATGGTGATGGTTTTAAACCAAGAAGCAGCTCTGTTTAAGGATCTCTTTGATTCATCGTACACATTTCTTTCTCTGTTTTTTGGCAGTTGACATCTGGTCGGTTGGATGCATCATGGCAGAGCTATTAAAAGGGAAGGCTTTATTTCCAGGAAATGATTGTATCCTTAACATAAGACACAAAATGCAGCTATAAAAATACTTTCGAATTCTTCCTTTTATTTTTTTTTCTGATGACTTGAGTGTTTCTATGGAAATGTTTTTGAGGTAACAAACTTCTAAAACAGTAAAGCATTTTTGTTAATTTTTCAGTTTAGTGTATATGACAGCTGAATATGAGACCCACTGGTAGGAAAAAAACAGTAACAGATGTTCCTAAACATCAATAAGTCGCATTTATTCCTTGTTGTGTATCTGTATTTAAATAATAACCTAGTTACAACAGAGCAGATTTCTTCCATGTGTGCATCTTACTGAAATAACATACGTTAAAAATGAAGCTGAGTAAAGGCAATAATTTTTGATGGGCTAATACAATTTTTAAAAACAGAACTGCTTTTAGGCTGGAAGTTTCTAAAATGCAAACAAAGTAATTTTTAAATGATAAGTGAATTAATAGGCTTATTGTGTCCTGTTATAAAAAAAGCCAGCAGTCTCAGATATGCCACAGGAGCAACAAAGTCCTCTTTTTCTTCATCGCTGTGCTGTGGTCCCTTCTGGAGCATCATGGATTTCCATTGGTATTTCCTGTGCTGGCAAGAGGAAAAAAAAGAGTAAAATAATAAAAGAAAACTGAAGAAAACCAGATAATGAGGAATTAGGAAACAACTGCATCAGAGGAGGAAGGCTTTTAATATGAGAAACAAAGGCACATTCTTCTGTACTGAATATTGACATTTCTCACTGCTCTGAAAGCCCTCAAAAAGCAAACAATTCATCTAAAACTAAGACGTTGCCAGGTGCAAAACAACATGACATTAGAATTGCCTGCAAAACTGTGAAAAGAGCTGAGAGATGGAGTCTCCCCACTGACCTTTCTGTTGTGCTCAGCATCATTAGGTTCTATTGTAACCACAGGCATTGTCCAGATGTTCATCGTCTGGGAGATAACTGTTGCTTCAGACTGTTTGATTACATGCTATGTGGCATTTGGAAAAATCAACACATCTAGTTTTCAAGAAATAAGATATCTTCTGCTATTGTAAAATATTGTCTGCAATTATGTGATTATATCAATTTAAATAAAGCTGTAAAATAACACTGAGTCTCTAGGGAAAATGTAATACACTTTACAGGTCATACATGACAATGAAAAATGAACTTTTTCTAAGCTTTTAATCTTGAGACTGATATAAAACAGATTTATATAGCTACCAAATGAGAATTTTCCACTTACAGCCTACAGATTAGTAATCTTGCTCTATATGCTCTATTGTAATAGACTGTTCTTCAGAAATCTCTCAGATCACTGAAATGTAAATGTGCTATTTAAATTAAGCTTAAGAATATATTAAATTGGGAACTAGGACAGGAAAGCAATATGTTGCATGCACCTTTCTGACATACAGGCACACCTAGCAGATTCATATAGTACAATAGAGAATTTGATACTCCAGGACTAGGCTCAAGAAAGGTATGAATTGGTGTCCTTCCATGGAATTGTCTTGCTGAATAGTTTTAAACATCTCAACTATCTGCATGAAAGTTCATTAATTGTTCAAACCTAGAAGGATCATGTACTGTTTATTTCCCTGAAATAATGCAGATATCGATCAACTAAAGAGAATAATGGAAGTTGTGGGCACACCCAGTTCTGAACTTCTGAAGAAGATATCATCAGAACATGTGAGTTGACAGCTTCATTTGGTTAAATGACTTCCTACCATTCTAACTGGCATCCTATGCCACTGGTTGTGTTACGCAGATACTCTGATTCGGAAATGGGCAAACACTTCAAAGTGATCTCTACTTTTTGCTGCTAGAATGCCACCATTCAAAAAATATTCTTTTTGGAGGCATCCAAATGCCCTGACTGTCAGCTGGATTAATTTTGATACTTGTTCTAATGTACTCAGTTTCTGAAAGCTGTTTGGCAATTGGTCCTGATGATCTTTTATTTTGCTGCTATACTTATAATGAAAAATTCAAACTGACACTCAGCTCAGTGCATTATAGTGTTGTTATTAAATCTGATGCCTCTGTAATTTTTATGCTTTCCATACTTATAAGGGATCTAAACACAGATATCAGAATCAAATAATGTGTGTTCTGCCAGAGTGCTCTTATTTGGATCCCTAATTTGAAATTCGTATTTATTCATCTCTCTGAATGCTTGTGCAAGGTCCATTTTCATGATAATATCTGCAGTTACTGGTGTGATTTTTATCTCCCCATATGACTTCTTTAAAGTAGTAATCTAGTAAATGAACAATTTTCACTTTGTTTCTCTGCTAAAACTACACTTAAAGGATTCACTTTAAGCAATACCTGTGGATATCCAGCTGAGGAATGTGAAATTGATTGATAAAGGCAGGTGATGGGCATGGTGTAAAAAATTCAGATAAACAACAGCATAGAGATACCTCCTGAGCTGACACTGTTTTCTTACACCTTTTTTGTCTCATCTTGAGCTAATACTAACAGCTGTTTTTCAGCTTGTGTGTTTATTGGTGGGTTCTTTGAACTTTGGCGTTCTTTGAACTTACTAATGAATACACTAGTGAGTTAGGTAAGCAGGAAAAGTAGGAGAGCCAGAGCAATGCTGTATTTCTGGAAGACCTAAGCTTAATGAAATCTCATCAATGCAGCCCCAGAGTTTGTGGGTGCCCAGCACCTCGAAATGGCCGGGGCAGGAGGAGGATCCATCCTTGTGCCAGGGACTGGATCAACCAGCGAATCATAGAATCATAGAATCGTCTAGGTTGGAAGAGACTCTTGGGATCATCGAGTCCAACCATCTACCCTACTCTACAAAGTCATCCCCTACACCATGTCCCTCAGCACTGCATCTAAATCTTGGAGTGTGATGTCCTAAGCATAGGTCCTTGTATAGCCTTGGTAGGTCCTGGTGTAGCCTTTATGTGTTATTAAGATAAGATTAAGTTTTTTGCAGTAAGGTGTTCAGAGTAGTGTATACAAACGTGTGATTTACACACAACTAGTCAGTTTGTGAGCTTTCTGATTATGAGATTAAACACCCTAAATATTTACTGGAGATAGGATCTGCTTTTGTCTTTAATTTCTTGTGCTTCAGAGCATACCTCAGTGAGCTACAAGAATCCCAAAACTGTTTTACTGCAGCTAATTATAGCTTTAGAGCATAGGGAGAACACAAAAACCAAGTTAATTACTTGGAGTGCTGCTAGGTCACCTCTGGGCTGCTGCTGCCTGGTTAGAGGAGCGATGTCAAAGGAGATGTGTGCCTTGCTTCAGGGTACTTGCCTCTTGTAAAGGAGTGTCTGTCTGTCCTATTCCTTTGTCTAGTTCTTCTTTACCTTGTAGTTTGGCCTTATTGTTTAGATATCTCTTAATGCAGCTTGCAGTCCAGGACAATTTTTCCCATTCCTCTAACAGCAAGGTCACAGGTTTTCTGAAATGACAAGCCTATTTTCAGTTATAAGTAGAGGATTAAAGAATTGGAAACTAAAATATCAACCCCATGAGATGTTTCAGCGCAAATTACTGAGCTGTTTTGTCAGTCTTTCACGTTAATATGGGTTTAAATGGTGATTGCATTTCATTATTTTCAGAATAATTTAAATGTCTGGATTCTCTTGATTGGGTTTCTGTGGTGAATATACAAGCAGAGGGGACAGGTTAAATGCTTTGATAGGTCTGTGTTGTTTTCAAAGGACTTCTGGACAAGGTTGGAGATAATTTTGAAATATCTCGTTCAGTCATGTTTGGATTAGCGATGTTAATTGATGTCTGTACAGAAACAAATAATCCACAAATCCACAGATGTTTGTCATAAGATAAATTTACCTCTTGTCTACCCTAGTCCGTAGCTTCCACGCAAGAATGTGTGACAGCTCTCTTTCGCCCTGCTGGTCATATGTACGTATAAACCAATGCCCCGGGAGACTTAATTCTGATAGGAGCTGCACACCCTGACCCCCTAGCAGGTGTTTGCTGCCTTTATGAACTTTAGGGGGATAAAAGAGGTGGAGTGAAGCCTGTGTTTGACTAGTCTTTAGACATTGGTCTCTGCATGACTGGCTACAGCTGCTAAGAAGAAATCAGCCTTATAGAAAGCCTTGCCATCAGCCCCCATAATAAAAAGGGAAAATGCTGATACAGTTTTAACAGGTTGGGGACATAACACGTGGAGGCTTGCTTCTCTTAGTGAGACTCTGAAGTGTGTCACTAGTGGTAGTCTGGAGTTTTGTTAGAATATGCTTACATCTTACAAGAAGCAGAAAAAATAAATAGATCTGCCTCATTAAATTAGAACACAGCTTGAAGAGACACTGTGTGATGCAGTGATTTAAAATATCCTTATATCAGTTCATTGCAGCTACAGAAATTAAGATGATGGCAGAGAAAACAGTGTATGGGACAGGGTCTGTTTCCCAAGCGTGGTTGTAGGATTGCACAGATGATATGTCAGAGTATTTTATAGTCACTTCATGATGGTCCAGAAGATAGTTCCACAACTCTCAATCTGGTATCTCACTGGAAGCCATGGAGCTGCACAGTATGAAAAAGTTTATTTCCTTTGCTGTCTTCAGTAGGCCAAGGATGCTTAGTTAGCTTAGAGTAGATAGTCTTTTTCTAATAGGATTGCTCAGTGTGCAGGGAGGCTCCCCTGTAACACAAATGTGTTTTAAAAGGATTAAAGTTTGTTTGAAGACCAGCTAGAATTTTTGTGGATCTGGGGATAGCCATTTGCCTCTTCTTGAACTGTTCCGCTTCAGAATTCCCTGTTCTGTCTGATCCCAGCCCTTAGGACCAGGATTCAACCTTTTTTCTTGCCAACCTATCTTATCTCAGACCAGAAATCCGTAGCTGATGTAATGCCAGGCTCCACGCTGACATTCATGGGTCCTACATGCGGGTAGGCTTTTCCTAGCTGAGCCTGGATGAGCCTTTCACGGCCACGGTGACAAGGCCAGCCATTAACTCTGTTAAACATCTGATGGTCTGCTCCCTGGCAGGATCAGGGTTTGTTCTTTGGTTAGGAAAGCTATTGTTCGACAGAGGAGGGAAGGATGGAGGCTGGATTATGCTACTTCACTGAGGGTAACTGAAAGATGATTTAGGTTGCAATTTCTGACTGAACACTACATGCTTGTGTTCCCTGGGGATGCACTGCAATGAACCGCTAAGCGTCGGTGAAAACAGAAGTGCTAACACACAGTCCTTAGAGGAAAATATACCTGTTTAAAACTCTCTTGCTTATTGGGCAATATACAGGAGTGACCGTTTAAAACAAAGTCATACATTATGATTTTATGTGAAGAAGGTTTCCCATGTATAAGAAATATAAAAAATACCACGTCTAGTTTTTTTAGAGTTGATACGGTTATGGTTGGGCAAAATTTAACCTCTGTGCATGTGGTATATATATCGATTTATTCCTAGGCAAGAAAATTCATTGAATCTCTTCCACATATGCCTCAACAGGATTTGAAGGCGGTATTTTGTGGTGCCAATCCATTAGGTAAGAAAGTCAGACTGATATATATTAAATCTTTCACTAACACAGGAGCTCAAGCCTCTCTCCGCTATATGATCCCATATAATAACGATCAGACCAGTGGGAAGAGCATTGCTTAACCTTTCATCCTCAGACTGTTTTCCCTTCGTGAAGCCTGTGCCTTTTGTTTCTGGTGGAGATTACGGGAACCTCCTAAGGAAAACAGTCTGTGAATGAAAAGCAAAAGCCAGCTATATATAGTAGGAATAAATAAAAATGTCACGGGGTCTGGACTAGAGACATCACTTCTGGCTCAGGAAGGGCAGGAGCTGGAAATTGCTGGTGAGCAGAAGAACATACCAGGAAGCATAGCTGTTTGAATGACCCTTTTGAGTATTATTTCCTAGGAATGTATTAGCCATTGTTGAACACAGGATGCCGGGCTAGACCTGTGGTCTGATCCTGCACAATTGGGTTTATGTCTAACCAATTGGTTCTGCCTGTGCAAAAGAGATGGTTCTGTGAACTATTTCTTTTGACATGGCAAAGGAGATGTTCGAGTGACTGGAGTCATCTTCCTACAGTGCCTGGTCAGTTCCATCAAGTGCACATTAAAACATTGTATATGGGGAAGTATTATGAGTTAAAATATTTTGAATTCGTCTGTGTATTAAAAGACAATTTTATTTTTACAGATACAAGTAGCGGTGAACACTTTCTTATAAAAAATGGGATTTATTTGTGTGAGGTACTTGAAAGCATGCTACATATTAATACATAAAGGCAAATTAATAAGAGTGCTTAGTGAAAGCACTAAAGTTATTTTTATATAGTATTTTAAATAGTTATAATAAACTTTCCCTATAAAACCAATTTCAGCTTTACAGATCTCTCTCACTTCTAATATTCTGCAACATCAAACATATTTTCTTTATGCTGGATCCTGTAAAGTTGCTTTGGGGCTTTCATCTGATGATTTAATTGATGCAGCTAATTAAAAGTGTAATCTCATATTCACAATTTTAAGATACACAAGTTTGCACTGATCAGGACCAAATTAAGCACATGATGCACAACACAGGATATTTAGCTTTTAAGTGCACAGATCTTTTCAGAATGAAGGTTTTGGATGTGTGAAGTGGTGAATCAGATATCAAATAGACTATCATGAACCTTCCAGAAGCCTCCTTCAGCTCTGAAAATAATACTCAGTACAAAACCTTCAAAACTTATTTTTTATATTGCCTAAATTTTGTGGCTTTGCCAATAATGCTAACTGTGTTGAAGGTGAGTGAGAATAGATTGTGGGTAAACAGTTGCCTTCTCTTTTATTGCTAGGTGGTCTCTTCTGGCTTTGAACCACGTTTCTCTTTTTCCCTTAGCTGTAGATCTTCTTGAGAAGATGCTTATATTAGACAGCGATAAAAGAATCACCGCCTCGGAAGCCCTTGCCCATCCATACTTTGTACAGTATCACGATCCGGACGATGAGCCTGAGGCCGAGCTGTACGACGAGTCCATAGAGAATAAGGAGCGAACCATAGATGAGTGGAAAGGTAACAGAATTGCACACAGTAGCTAATACATGCAGCAGAACAAAACCTTACTTCCTCTGTCTCTCATCGGAGCAGTTTGAACTCTTAAGCTTCATGGAAACAAGATGTATGTGCTTGTGGGAGTGGAGATGTGGGAAAGGTGGTTTTTCCTCTCTGGATTTCACTCCCTTCCCCCATTCTATCATCTCCTCACTAGTTTCCCTGCAGCAGGAAGCCACACATTCTGTCTTGCTTTTAGTTTTCTAGGTCAGATTCTCAGCTGAAGTAACTGTCCTGAGAGCAAGTGACACTATTTGGGATTCTGGTCTAGCTTTCTTCAGAACCATAAATTAGTATTTTCCAGATACGTGTGTATTTTGTTAATCATTCTTTTGATAGCCAAGTAATTGGGATTAATAGATAAGCCACGCTAGTGATCTTGTTTGAGGTGAGAGTTGCTGATTTTACTTTGGATTTACACCCTAAAAGCCATTCTTGAGAAATACTGCAACAACCTTTTTTATTAGTTAATTCCGTGCTTGCATCATTATTATATTGCACTATGGTATCACGGAAGTAACATGGCTAAACATTTAGGTTGCAAGTTTACTGCAATGCACAGTCCAATTTCATCATTGTCTAATGAGGACATATTAGGCTAAAAATTCCTTACCAGACATTTTTAAATTGAGAATAATGTTCTAGAAAACTAGTTGTTCCTCTTTATCAATAAAGTCCTTTCCTTGGCTTAAGATGAAATATGTCTTCTATAAAATAAATGTACTCCTGTTTCTATTTGCATATTCTGTAACTTTTACTCGAGAAAGCTTTGATAAAAATATATTAGCATAGTGGGTAGGTTTATGGTGAAAAATACTGACCTCCCATGTCTTACTCATGCCCTTGCACTTGTGCCATGTTTTATCCTGGACAAGCAGACTGACTACAGCACATACATCTTAAAGAAAGATAGGAGCGGGGTCATGGGTCCTTCTACAATAAAGCAACCTCCTGGTGCCCCGAAAAGGGTTTTCTAGCTTACCCTGTCTCTACAAACAAGGATTGATTGGTATCACTTATCCCTTACACTTGCTCTCCTCTGCAAAGCCTGGCAGCACGCACAGCACCACCCATACATCTTGTTTATTGAGAGGCATGTTCAATTTGCTGCTGTACTTACCAGTGGGTGATTTATTTTCTGCTACTTTTTCAGTTGACTGAGCCTTTAACAGGAAAGTTTAACAATTTCCGAGTGGTGAAGCTGATTTCTGTTTGTGATGAAACTCCGTTGAAATTATTTCAGGAGCAATCTTAGCTTAACACTTTCTGAACTGAAATGAGGATGTGGAGGTGAATTCTTTAGGAAGGACAGTATCACATATTTCTACATCGCTGTCCTTGCCAGAACTACAGGTTAAAGTCTGTCTTTATACAGAGGGGGAAAAAAAGGGGCCTGAAACAAAAATCTCAAAGCTGACACAGGACATGCAGCTCTTTCTCCTGGCCATATTTTTATCTTGGGGAATAAACTTTTTATTTTCAATTATAGTAAGTGCCACATTTAAGTAAGATGACATGAAAGGTGAACGAAGGGGAATGTTTGTATAACATTTTTGTATTATTGGTGAAATGTTGGACCCAGTTTCTCGATATGCCAATGGCATGTTCCCCCTCTTGTTCTGCTCAAGTTAAAAATCTGTGGCACTTGATCCCAAGAGGGACTGGGCACCAAAGAGATTTCAGACACTGTCTTACACATTATACACCTAAGAGTTTCCTTGTCCTCCATGGCACGCTGCTGAGGCTTGCAGCCCAGCAGCTCATAGATTTTTCTTCTGACATGTTTAATCAGTTAGAAAATATTTAAAATGTTTAGAGGCTGAGAGTATGCGATTCAGAGCTGAATGCCATGCACTGTCTCTCTTTAGCTGCTGCTCCAGCTGCACATATCTCAGCTTAACATCTGTACTCTCAGCTGAGTAGGTGGCACGAGAGCCAGGTAAGGAGCTTCCTACTCCAAGTTCACTCAGGACCACTCTAACTCCTACCTGGCTGCCTCTGGCCAGATGCTACTTAATAGCTTCAGATCAATCACTGAAAGAGCTAACAAATCCTTCTGCCTTGGCAGTTCTGCACACTTAATACCTTTCAGAGAAATCCTTCCCTGAAGCTGGCACAGTGGTCACTCTACACCATGGCACAGCATAACACAACCAGAGCGTAAGCAAGATTTTTACACACCTTTCAGAGGAGTGCTGGGCCCACTGGCAGGTGTAGCAGCTGTCTCAGGCAGAGTGGTTTAGTAAGCAAGTTAATAGGCACGGGTTTGATGTGGTTTAAACATCACTGTTTGGGAAACAGATCCTGAAATAATGCATTGTTAGCCATGTACTTATGTGTGAATAGGATTTGGTCCTTAAAATACAGTATCTAACTTGAGAAGATAGATGGGAGGTTGCTGCTGACGACATACTGCGTTGCTGTGGAAGGCACAAAACAGGACACAACTCTCCAGATGAAAAGATAAAGGGCTCTTCCTAAAGCAGGGGGAAACAGCAAGGAGTACATGTTTCTAGTTAAGCCTTTCTTGATGCAAATAGAACTGTTATGTGCTTCTAAGAGAAAAGAACATTTTTTCCAGAGGACCTTAAAATTGTTATTTACAATGAAGTCTTAAAAAAAGACCAAAAAACCAACACAAAACCTAGATCCCAAGTCATTAGTGCAGAATCGTGAGTGATTTATGGTGAAGGCAATTGACTGGGAGATGATAAAGAACATTTTCAGCAGTTAAAAGTGTACATTTTAAAACCTGTTCGGGTGCTTTTAAGCATTCCATTTTCCATTACATTTTGTCTTTCATTACGTCATTTTGGCAGGTCATCTGACAGCATAATTAATGTTTCCATTTCAGGGCCTGTGTGTTTTAGTAATTAGCTGAAGGGGACAGACGTGTTCTACAATAACAGTATTTGTGAGTTTAACTTGTAATCTGAGGTTAACAGCTGGATTCCTGGTGAATTCAGTCTATTTTTGGGTCTGGACTCTAAAAAAGACTGGAAATACAAACTACAAGTCACATGCATCCATAGAACTGTTTTGTCTGGAATATTTTTCTTTTGAAGGGAATATCACCTAATTCTTCTCTCTCCCTTACGCCCTCTCTACAGAACTTACCTATGGAGAAGTGATTAGCTTTAAACCCCCTGACTTAAAAATGGATAGCCTGGAGATAGAACAGTGAATACCAGCAGCTCTCTCTCGCCTTGCTGCACTATGAAGACTGTTAAAATATAATCATTCTATTTAACCTGTGGTCAGACGTAGATTTTTACTATCCAAAGACGTTGGAGAAGATGTGGAAAAGCAGATGCATTATACAGAAGCCAGACGTTGTCTGTTTGGGGTGGGTTGTTGTTTTTTTTGCCTTGTAATATGAATGTATTCCCGACTCACAAAGGGTGATAAAGAACTGCTTTGTTCTGACAAAATTATGCACTGAGTTCTGTCGAGCTGTGTGTTCTGCATGTTTCATTTTATCAGTTGTATTGCCAAAATAAAGGTGACTTTTAAAATTAATTTTAAAATTGTACATTTAAAGCATGAATGTATGCAAACACAAACATAGAAATCAGTACAAGCAATCCATTTATTTTTTTCTGGCATTTTATCTGTCCGTTTTCATATTATTTATAGTTAGTGCCTTTATGATGAGAGGGCGTGTAGTGAGATAGACAGAATATGCATACGTAGTCATATCTGTGGTGGTCTTACAGATTTACTGGATGTCTCTCAAGCGATCTCAACACCAGTTGAAAGTCAATAAAAATAAATCTTTGTCTTCTGTTGCCATTCAAGTGTCTGTTCTCATTATTTTCCCCATGTATGTTGTTTTAATCTGCACAATACCCATTTGTGAGACCATTTTACTGGCTGATGGTGCTCCTGACCATGCTGTCAGTGGAGCGCTGCTGAATTTGCCCAAGTTGACAGGAAGGTGGCCCGAAGGCCCTGCGGCAGATCTCTGCCATCTTCTGCAAGCTTCAGCAAAGGCTGGCACTGGCGCCAGTGCAAGAGTGCTCAGTTCAGCTCACAATTCCTCATTCTTTTATTTTCCTTCACATAGTCCTTGGGAAAATAATCTAATAATTGCCATTGGAAGACAGGGCAAAACTAGATGATTTAAGAATTTCTTTGTGGAAAACAAAATATCCATCTCATCAGAGTTTCCTTTTAAGCAAAATTTTAAAGGCTTTCCAGCTCTGAAAAGCCGGAAAATTAAATAATAAATTGTTGGATATGTTGGATACCAAGAATGTCTTAAAGAATTAAATTTATCCGATTTCCCCATTGAAGGCATAATACTGAAACAGGAATATCCTTTGGCAGGAGCCCCCTTTGGTGTACTGGCTGTGTCTTATGATTATGATTCATGGTTGTTCAGTGTTGTTCATTTTTGTGTCTCTTTCTCACCCTGTCAGAGTTTTATCTTGGAGATGGCTTTTTATATCATTTAGGTTTTCTGCAACCTTTGACATTAAGATTCAGTTGTACAGCTATTACATGAGGTAATGAACTCTACTGCATTTATTTACCCTCCTCTGTATCTTTTCTATGTAAAAGAAAAGCTTTTTCTTAATAAACAGATTTTAAAAAATGTCAAGTCCAAGAACTTTGATTTTTCAGAGGTAATCAATACAGTGTTGTTTGTCTTCTTTGAGAAATGGAAATAAGCGCTCCATGTAGAAAATATGCTCCTGATCTGTGGGCTAAGTGGTGGGCTGTTGGTGGTAACGTTGGCCAGTTGTCTGATACTTGATTTCAGTGGAATACAGACGCTTGTATTCAACTTTCTGCATGGCAAATTAATCTGGAAGCAAATGTCCTCCTGAATATCTCACAGGTCCTCTGAAGTGGTGTCTGGCCACCGTTGCTTTGGCTTCCTATGAATCTGGATGAGGCCTGCAGTGATCCTGCAACCACTGAATTTCATGCTGACTAAAATTAGTGAAAACATTGTAAATACTGAAATTATTCATCTGGCTACATAATGAAAATAATCACTTAGTCATGTCTTAAATATATTTTTTCATTTTTTTGTTTACCAATTAACAGAAAAGTAGCTCAGTGCTTTATTTTCTCTAAAATCTGGTAATGAGCTTGCTGGCCTGTTCTGCAGCTCTGTTCCAGCTGGAAGGGCAAGGATGAAGTAAAGAGATTTCACAAGAACCTCCTGCATCCAACGATAATTAATTTAGTGTGGGATTTGTCCCATCATTTGTTTAATCTGGTTTCCTGGCTACGAGGGTGGCCGTCACCAAATGTTTCAAAGGATGCGTAAAAACTCTGTGGTAGGCAAAGACCAGAGGGTCTGCTCTTGCCGTAGCCCCGCTACTGGAGGTAGGAAGGAAGTTTTACAGCACTTGCAAAATGTGCTCTTCTGGCAACTCTGAATATTTCCTTTTACATTCAAAGCTGTAATTTTTTTCCAGGAGATAAATTATGTAGGAAGAATATGGTCATAGCCATATTTCAAGTAATCAAAGGTGACAGTAATGGGTAACAAGAGCTCAGCTATTTTTAATGACATACCATCAAAACCCATAAATCATCTCATTTTAATGTCAAGAAAAACAGTAGGGAGAGAGACTTTTTTTTTTCTGAATTCGCAAAAGGAAGGTGATTTCTTAGACCCCAAAAGCCACTAATTAAAGTATTTTTCTGGAGCAGGTAATCGACTCCCTTGTGGGAATCCAACGTGGGACCGCGGTGTGGGAAGTTTATCAGTTTAGAACAGCAGAGCAGGGTAATTGGAAAGCGGGTACCCTGCTGGGACAGCAAGGTGGAAGGCTTAGTGCTAACAACGCTTATCGTTTGAGCACAGATGGAAAAAAAAACGTTTGTCAACCAACACAAACAGGCAAATGGGGGCAAAACATCCAGGAGCGAGGGCTTTGTCAGGCTTGGTGAACCTGTAAGGCACATTGCTTAAAAGCAAATTTTAAAGAGTAAATAAATAGAGAAGTAAGGGTTTTATTTTCTGAAAAATTATTTGCTAAAAATGTCTTTAATTATGGCATCGTTTCCATGGCTCAAATTTTATTTGCAAAATTTGTAGTGGAGCCTGCTTAAACTGTGGGGTTTTAATCTCCTGATGCTGCTCTTACTCTTGTGATTACAATTGTGCTTTTGTGGGTCCTCTGCACATCGCAGGGACGGTTGAGGGGGTGTCGTAGGTTTAGCCCACACTAAATTAGGGCCCTCATCATCCCTGACCACCTGCGAAGCACAGAAGGGATGCTCAGGGAAGGGCGGCCGGGCAATGCTGGCAGAGAAAGCAGCTCAGGTTTCCACTGGGGGAGAACACAACCCTCCAAGGGCTTTCTCTGGTTAATTACTGTCATTGTTAACAATTTACTTCTAATCTGAATTTACCTAATTTCAGCTTTCAGTCACAAGAGCTTGTTATCCCTCTGCCTACTGAATTGAAATCACTTCTCGTATTTATTATCTCACTCTAATCAGTGTTAAGTGCAACCTCAAGTCTAGTAATTTTATCATCACTGGAAGCAAAAGGTCTTGCAAAAGGAAGAAAAAGTCTTTTGCATAAATCTCCATCTTTTGATATGCATAAGTATACACTACATTTCTTCTTAAATCTGCATCTTTATTTTTTAAGCTCTCTACCTCATCAGCACCAAGCCCAGCAGCAGGAAGCTGATATGCCAGAGCCAAAGCAGAAATGAAGACAAGACTAAATAAATCTCTAATTTACAATGTGCTAATGGAAAGTCATTGTCAGGATGCAGTTCAGAGGAAAAGCCGAGCATTACAGGGTATCACTTGCAATAATACACAGAGAACACACAAAGTGGCAACACAAGCATGAAACAGCAGGGTTAGTAATAACTTTGGGAATTTATAGGGGAAAAATAATAAGAAATCAGGTGATCAGCACTGATACATGAAAAAATACATCATGCACCAGTAGGTCAAGAGCCATTAATTAGGCAGCATTGTTGCAGAAGTCCCATTAGCGATCTTGGCATGGTTTTGATGTGGTGCTACAGATGAAAGCAAGAAGGACAGGGGGTCAGTACGCTGCAGGACCCGACACAGCGGGCTCACCCTAGGGACAGGAGGGGGACAAAGCTTTCAAGGACAGAGGTGGAGAGCCGTCAATACAAAAGCCACTTCCTTCCTTTCTTCCTGTCACGTGTCCTCCTGGATCACGACGAGCAAACAAACGTCCACCTTCCCAACCCTCGGAACCTGGTCAATCAGTGAAAAAAGTACTGTACTTAGCTGCAGGCACAAATTACTTGAGTATCCTGTTCTACATCTGCAAATTGCTGACATGGCCCACGAATCCCTGCCAGATGAGCAGTGGTAAAGATTTAGCTGTCGCTAGAAGAGAATTGCACTGCAAGTTGAGTAAATGATGTCTTTTGGTAGCAGCAGAAAAGGAGCCCAGTCTCAGCAGGATGAGTTTCCTTAGGAAGGATCTAACAGCAACACCTCTCTTTGCTTTAAAAGCAGCCGGTTGTTTCTCTTGCACGTGACCCGTGCTGCTACTGTTTACGGGTGTAACGCAACTCTCTAAAGCTGGTCCTTAGAAAATCAGCAGGCTCACACATGTGAGAGTACCAAGTGTCATTAATTTATGAGTCCAGGCAAAAAGCGTAAGGGTTTTTATGGGACTAGTACCAAGAGACTCAGAAAGCTGCATTAGTGGAGCTGCCGCTGACCTTCTTTCTGCCTTAAGATAAAATATTGAACTGATTTGCCTGAAGGGGTCTAAGTTTTCACTGCAAGGAGGGAATATATTGTGAGCTTCCGATGCGAACGCTGATCTTCCAACCAATCCGACACTTAATCCATTAGATGGGAAATTTCTACATAATGAATGAAACTGTTCAATTAGGCTTCAATCCTGCGTGCATACAAAATGCCTCATTTTGCACTCACATAGTCCCCCAGCTTCAATTATTGTCACAAATTAAGATGTATGCCACAGTACAGAGATTTTAGCTAGTCCTTTTAGGTTCCAATTTGATCACAGGTAATACCGAATGCAGTAGAAATACTGAATCACAAATATACATTGAATCTGCCATAAACTGCCAGCCTCTACTGAGCCATACTTTGCTCCTTATTGAATAGTATCCTGTATATTAGCACTAAAATAATATATTCCTATTCCATACTTATTTTATAACAGAGCCTGAAGGCTCAAATCAGGAATAAACCCTAGTTACATTACATTATGTACAAAAATAACACCACGCACTCCTGTCCTGCCCAGCTCTCTTGCTAGATTGAGATGGAAACACAGCAAACGAATGCAATTAAGGAGGATGGGAAGGCCAGGGTTAGAGTAACACCAAGTTTTTGGTGATTTAAACAGCTGATGTGCACAGCTATGTAATGATGAGTACATAAAGCTGTCGACGATACATTTTCATGGTCTTTTTGTCTGATTTTTGCATTGAAACAGGAAAACTCTTCAACACGAGTACAATAGCATCTCAGATTGTGATAATCTGTGACAGTTTAAATGTGGGATTGAGTATGAAGAGGACCTTTACGGACGCTCTGAGGAGAAAGCGTTAGGAGCAAGTTTAAAGCAGCTGACTTATAAAGATGTCTGCTGCCTTCTACACTCGGCCTCGCTGCCTCCAGCCCCCTCCAGCAAACAGGGATAACAGGGGAGTAAACAGTTAACTGGTGAGCTCTCACTTGACCTCTTGAACAAATGAAATGGCCAGTTTAAAAAATGTAGGCCTACAGGAAGGCTGGGGAGAGCCTGTTTACAAAGGCCTGCAGTGACAGGACGAGGGGCAATGGCTTTAAACTGGAGGGGAGCAGATTTAGATTGGAGATTAGGAGAAAGTTCTTTACTGTGAGGGTGGTGGAGCACTGGAACAGGTGGTCCAGGGAGGTGGTTGAGGCCCCATCCCTGGAGATATTCAAGGTGAGGCTCGATGAGGCCCTGGGCAACCTGGTCTAGTTGGGGGTGTCCCTGCTGACTGTGGGGAGGATGGACTAGATGACCTTTGGAGGTCCCTTCTGGCCTGGACAATTCTATGACTCTAAAACATTTTTATTTTTTTTTTTAAAAAAAGCATTTTTAAAAAAAATCCATATATATTTCTTCTTTTCTGCTGATGGCCGAGTGCTCTCATCACGTGGTGAGACTCCCCTGGAGGTGCTCCCTGTCTCAGCAGCTGGAACCAAAGCACCCTGCTCGGGGGTCAGGGAGACAAAACCAGAGAAGTTGCAAAATAGTTGGCAGTAGCTCCACTGGGGAAGGGTGGGGACACAATAGCAAGGGAATGTTTTCGGATGAAAACTGAGATTTATTTTGTCTAAGCTTTGCTTCTTGTTTCTTGTAATAAATAAAATGAGCTCACTTCCTCCACGGCAACATATCTAAATAGACAAGAACAGAATATTTTCTGAAGGTGGGGATATAGAAAGCTGGTTAAAAAACAATATTCTAGGAATCAGCTTTTGACAATTCAGCAAGATTTTATGTGTACTGACATTTAAGGTATGTTCACATGTCACTTAGCATATCAAAAATAAAAGGACCATGTGAAAGACATAAACAGACAGAAAGGTGGGAAGATGCTGGATTTTTCCAAGGACTTTGTATGATCTCCTGCATCTCCCTGTCTGAATCCACCTTGCCAGTGCCTGGTCTGGTGATCAAGGTCCCAGTCCCTCTCCCTGCTCACACAGACACCTCCTCTGCCCAGGGCCCGGGAGCCAGCCCGCAGCTCAGCTCCTGACAAACTAAGCTGGGCCATTTTACCATTGCTAATGAACAGTTTGTTGCGAGCAGCGTTGCCATCAGACTGTGTCACCAGACTCCATACATGCAGAATTGCTCAGGAAAACGTGATTAGCTTTCTCGCTGCTCTCTTGCAGAGCTCCTGCTCCAGCATCAAAGCTTCATGTCCAGGCTGGAGCATAAATGGAGCTCTCAGTCCCCGAGGGATAAGAAAGACTACTGTGCACATCCCAGCTACCTCATATGCTTTGCAGCTGATGGCAGCCTTCCAACACGTGGAAACTTGGCTCTTTAAAAAAACCCAGAGGTATCAAAATGAGCGTTTCTTCCTGGTAACGACCTTGCCAAGCTTCCCTTTATGGGATGGGCATTAGAAAAGTGGGATTTTTGCATCATTAATGCATTTATTATCTTTTATTCATGATGTCTGAAGAAAGTCCCTTTTTGTTCTATAAACTTTACAATAAACATCTGCCAAAAGCAGAAACATCTGATAGCATTCCTTTGTTAATTTACCCTGTCAAGCACACATTGCCTGGGATAAGATATGGCTGTAGTACCCTATAGTCTCATTGTAGTACCCTGTAGTCTCATTGCAACAGACTGTCTTTGGGAGAACACATCACCGTGTCTCCAGCCCAGCTTAGCAGGATGCTGAGGCTCACGCTTTTTGTGATGCTGCCATAAGATCTATCAGTTGTGGGTGGATCCAAGTTTCTCATCTCACTCCCTTCATGGACACTTTTAATGGTGTTATTAGACACAGCTTCTCTCGTTACAACAGTGCTGATTTCCTAGTCATTTCAGTAAGTTTATCTATTTGTCTGCAATATGTGTGACCTGATGGGGAAATGTGGTCTTGCATTTGACCCACGCTGCTACCTCACCCATCTATGTCAAAGTATACTTCATTACTTATATGAAGGAAAAACATAGGAAAAACAGCACTGGCCAATTTTTCCAATTAATTTTAAAAAAATCTTACAAAAGTTGCTCTGTAGTATCCTCAGCTTCTGCACAAAAGAGATGTTGTCTCAGTACTGGGTTAGTACTTTCATCTACTGTATGAACATCATCAATGATCAAATCATCTACTTTCTGCCCTGATAAAAAGCAAGCAGAAAGAAAGCATCATTTTGCCACAACTGGATAAAGGAAAAGTACGATCAAAAGCAGAACTAATCCTTACTGTATTAGAAACATACATATTTGTCATTAAAAGTGACTTATCTAATGGACTGGCTCAAAACTGAGTGGAAGTTGCTCTGTCCTTCACCTTGTTCATATCTGCATTTCACTCCAGCCATCATCTAGATCTAGACACGATACATAAGGGATGCCAGAAATTAAAAAAAAAAAAAAAGGTAAAAATCTCTTGGGACAGTGGATTCTAAAAGCAAACGTGTACCATTAATCTAACACTTGACATGACCCTCACATTACCCGCCAAATGTCAGAAGGTTGGTTTCCATCCTCACTAAACCCGTATCGGGTCACCCATCAGCAGAGACCAGCCCTGGAGCACGCAGGTGGTGGTTGGAAGGACATTTTCCTCCTATACTGGACACATAAATATCAGGAGGAGGAAGGGCAGGGCCACTCTTCCACGTTCAGTAGTCAGACAGGAAAAGGTTTGTGCCACTGGCAACTACCAAAAATGCATCAGGAACAACAAAACTTGGCCAGATCACCCCTTTCGAGCTAAGCCACAAACTGAACTCTAGTGACAGCAAGTCTGGATTATCTAACCTCAGCAACATTGCTCGGGGCAGAAGTCAGGTGAAACAAAGGCTTTAACAGGCTCTGAAGGACAAGAATTTTAATTATATTAACACAGAGAACACATAAATTTTTTTTAAAGCAGGTCTTTGCCTTACGTGTGTCAGTCCAGGCCTATTTACTGAAGAGATAGGAGAAGGTTGGTTGTACTCCAGCCCTCCAACTGTTCCAGGCTGCTGCTTGAACTGTTTCATATCGCACTGACCACCCAGGGGACCGCGTGCTCTGGGCAACTGAATCAAGCATGGACTTGTTTCTATTGACCTACATGAAATATTGTTGAAACCTGGGATCTGGCCCTGAGGTGAGCTGGGAAGCCCTCAGCCGTACACCTGGGTGCAAAGGTCATCTGAAAGCTTGCTTTTGCACTCCCAACTCTCATCAGTTTACAGCCCCTTGTGTTCCTTAACACTTTCATGGAAAAGCTGGTTGCACCTCAGCTAACCTGAACGAGGATGGCACAACCATCGTGGAGCGGGGTGCTGCACCGCGGGGGAGGACGGGCACAACCCGAGCCCCGGGATGGGTTTGCTTTCAGCTCCATGGCCAGGACTTGAAAGCTGGAGAGAGACTTTTTACAAGGGCATGTGACAGGATGAGAGGTAATGGCTTCAAACTGGAAGAGGGCAGATTTAGATTCGATATTAGGAAGAAATTCTTCACTGTGAGGGGTGTGAGACACTGGAACAGGTTGCCCAGAGAAGCTGTGGATGCCCCATCCCTGGAGGTGCTCAAGGCCAGGCTGGATGGGGCTTTGAGCAACCTGGTCTGGTGGGAGGTGTCCCTGCCCATGGACTCGATGGTCTTTAAGGTCCTTTCCAACCCCAACCACTCTATGGTTCTGTGCCTTGGGCAGGCAGCGACAGCCTCAGCACCTGGCCCCCCGCCGCCGGGCACAGGCCGGGCAGGACGCCTGGGGACATCCCCCAGCGCCCCCGGGACACCCCGCGCTTCCACACCCCCCGCCCCGCCGGAGCGCGGCCCCAGGGCACCCTCGGTGCCGGTACCGGTGGCGGCCCCGCCGGGGGAGGCGCGGGGCGAGCGGCCGGGCCGGCG